CCCCCGTGCGTTTTTTCGATATAATTTAACTGTGTAAAACAGGCACCTGTCCAACGCGGCCGCGGCCGCAATATTTTAACACACAACTTCTATCACACTAAGCAAAAACACCTGTCTTAGACGGCCACCTTAGTGGCTCCATTACGTTTTGTCATAAATTGTGCATTGGCCCCTGGCGTTGTGGGCGAGCCGTCATAATTCAATACCCTTTCGTTGCTGTTAGGTAGTCCCTCCAACCGATCAAATTGCGTAGGCCCCTCCCACTGTTGACCAATAGGTACATGTACTAATTTTGCTGCTGGTGCGGTAAGCGTGTGATCCCTCATTACCCATAAGCCCCGCCCAGAACTCGTACACAAATCGTAAGTGAGATGAGTGGTCACTGTATACCCAGTCTGTAACAAAGTAACAAAGGACGTCAACATGAACTTGCGACAGAAGCGTTGCTCGTTCTCCGAGTGGTGGCGACCCATGTGTTTGTTCTAACAAGGCATGTCTGATACATTTCATTTTATTGTCACCCTTGCGCAAAATCAGCGACAAAATAAAAATTGCAAACAAAATACAAACCAACAACAACAACAACAACAAAAACAAAAACAATGCGGTTACTTTCGATTGGGACCTCAGATGGGAATGGTTTGATTTCTTCATCTTGATTAGTCCTGCATAAGACGGCCACCTGCCTTAAACGGCCATTTTCTCCTTGACAATGGGTGGCCGTCTTACACAGGTTTTACTGTATTTCTAAAATTAAAATTTTAAACCAGTAGTCAATTCGATCATTGACCAAAACCAAGCCGTATGTGAACTATTTTGAAGGCAACCAACTTGCATTTCATGCGCTCATATGTCCTTATGCAGTTGAGAGTGCCGTAAAACTTTTACTAGACAAAAAACAAACAAACCGTCTTTCAACTCTCTGCCCGCTCCCTGTACACTTTAAGCACTTCTCCTATTTTACAAAAAGCCATCTTCAATCAATCATTCCTCAATTTCCACAGCAATCGCAACGCTTCCATATTATCATGCAACCTGACCAGAAAGGTCAGTTTAACCTGCATTGCTATTTGAACTTTCACGGAGCCCCAAAAGGAAATGAATTTACGGTCTACTCTCTACTCCACGCTGTCCACAAGCGACTCACCTCTTTTACCCTTTCCATTTCTGTCTTTTTGTCCCTAGACTGATGCTTGGTACAGCTTTCAATTACTTCTTTTTTTTAAATGCAGGTGATTTTTACGCCCACATCGACCCCCCCCCCCACCCACAAAGGTAGTGTAACTGACTGAAGTATCTTCAGTCCATTTCCAAATTTGGTGGGGTTGGGGGGGGGGGGTATTAACATGTTCTTACGCACAGTAAAATTGTAAATGGGCTGATTTATCAATGTTATGCTCATACTGTGCCGGAACAACATCGGGGGAACTGCTGCTTTTTCTTTCCTCACCCTTGCTATCGTCATTTTCCCTCTACTTCTTTTGTATGTTTGTCACTCTTTTGTGAAATGCTATTTCCGAGGTGCCTTGATGGTCGAAGCAGACTTTGTGCTGTTGAAGCTAGAGAGGTGAGCAGAGTAAGCCTGATTTCCCGTTTGGACTACTTTGTTGACATCCACCCTTTGGCGCATGACCTTATGCAGTTGCGAGCCCCGTAAAACATGACTAAAACTAAACTAAACATATCGACACAATTTAGATAATATAGCAGGAGGGCTTTCTGCCCTGCTTGTCAGGATCAATCTAAGTGATAAATAACCGTGTTTGAGAAGGCGAATATCTAATTATTAAACTAGATTTTGAGCGACCAAAATCGCTTTCTGTCTGACGTCTGTAGTGTTGCTGTTAAGTGCTTCGACATCGCACGAAGAAGACTCGAGTTTGATTCTCATGTTTGGGTGGCTGGCAGGTACTCTGGTGTGGTTTGCTCCTTCTATCTTATCAAACGTCTGTCGTCCTTATCTCTTCTCCTTCATTTTTGTGTTTGTTACTCTCTAGTAACACCTCTAATCTTCGGTACTAATATGACCTTATTGTGTTGCAAGTGCCGTAGAATAGTTACGAAGAAAAAAGATTCCCTTGTGGGGGAAATTTTTACCCAGTATGTTGGTCTTTTTTCTGGGACGTTGCATTCCTCTTAGGCATAACAGGCTGGGTAGAAGACCGTCTCCTCTGTGATCTAAATTGTATTGATTGGGGGCGTAAAATATCTATCATTAAAAAAATAAAACAACACCAACAACAAAAGAGAACCCAACCCCCACAACAACAACAACTACAACAACAACAACAACAACAACAAAAACAAAACCAACAACAAAAGAGAACCCCCCCCCCCCCCCAACCAAACATTTAAGTACAAGTGGCAGAGTTACGACAAGCCAAATGCAAATTTAAAAAAATGCTTTCTGGGTAGCTTTATACAGTGGTGTCCAAAAGAAACTTGAAAATGCAATCGCCCAATCATTGTGTTAAAGCCTTGCACTACCCACTCATGCAGCATACCAATTTAAAGCGAAACAGATTCTTCATCATGTGGCACATTAATATTTCATTTATGTTACGGGATGCCCGAGATACGGTCAATCAAAACTGGCCTTAAAAAAGCTGGCTTGGCAAAATTGTGCGAAAACAAAGAAACGCAAACGTGTGTTTGCACGTGTATTGAAGTGCATCAACGTTGTTGGAATGGACATGTCGTGTATTGAATATCAAATGAATATAAAATTTTGTCTCCGCAGTAAAGAATATTTTATTACATGTACAATGAGTTAAAAAAAAATTATAGTTTGCACAGTAGCGACCAGCAATAGTTTGTAGATTGTCTTTGTTTGTAACATTGTGTTTTATTCATGCAGTTATGCATGAAACGTATTTGTGTTTGTGTGTTTGTGTGTGTGTGTGTGTGTGTGTGTGTGTGTGTGTGTGTGTGTGTGTGTGTGTGTGCCTTTTAAAAACACATTTCTCAAAGGAATCAATAAAATGGAACCTTTTGAAATTCATTTCTATAATTCCCTAGCTTTTCGAGGTAATCAACATCCGTACGGTCTGTCTAACCCTTTTGAAAACACCGTCAATTCCAGTACTTAATGAGTTCCTGAAAGGATAAAAAAAAATCTAGAGTAGACCTACCCAACAGTGGATGATTGGTGGGTTCTCTGGTGCGGTTTGCTCCTTCTTTCCTGTCAAACATCTATCGTCCTTATCTCCCTACTATTTTGTGTTTGTTACTCTCTTGTAACACCTCTAATTTTCGGCACTCATTGAACCTTATAATGTTGCAAGCGCTGTAAAACTCTTACTAAAACAGAACAAAACAACTACCCACCGGCCCAATATTGCTAAAAGGCACCGAACCGTTGGCCTAAAACAGATATAAATGCAATGTATTTGAGTGTTGACTTAGACTTATCCTAACCAGCCCACTTTGTGCGGAAAGACTTCGTGAGCTGAAAGCTTAAACCGACAATAATAATATACCGATTTGCATAAGTGTAAACACATATTCATATCTTACTCCCCACACCTGTTCATTGGTGGTTGTATCTGAATAGCTTTCACTCAGTTCTATCGTTGAATGGAAATGAATAACTTCGCAGCGATATCAACGAACTGACAGCTTTATATATTATAATCCTTTCGGTACTTTCGCTCGACTTTCCACTTTGACAAGTGGAAAAGCAATCCTTTCCCCCCTTTTTGGGGGTTTAATTATTCTTTCCTATTCTGTGTGAAAAGCAAAAGCAATATTCCCCATATTTTCACCCCCCCCCCGTTTTAAAATAATTATTGCTCTTTCCCATTCATATTTACAAAGAAAGTTGTACATGTTTTATGGGATCACCCAGTATATGACCTATCTGCATTGCAAGTGCCGTCAATCTCTTACCAAAACAAAACACAATTATTACTGTTATTAACCCCCTCCCTCTCTTTCTCTCTTTCTCTCTCTCTCTCTCTTTCTCTGTCCCTCTCTCTCTCTCGTTCCTTCTCGTTCTCTCTCTCTCTCTCTCTCTC